TAGTGACAAGCCTATTCGCACCAAGCCTTATCCTCTGCCGTTTACTTCAAAAGACGTTGTTTGTGACGAGGTTAGGAAGATGGTGGAAGCCGAAGTGATCGAGCCTTCGACGAGTCCATACAGTTCCCCGATAGTCATCGTGAAAAAGAAGGACGGTTCGAACAGGTTTTGTATCGATTTTCGTGCAATTAATAAAGTAACTGTTTTCGATGCAGAAACCATTCCAAATGCTGATGATATTTATGTACAATTATCTGGCTGTAAATATGTGTCCAAATTTGATCTATCTAAGGGATACTGGCAGCTACCATTGGATGATGCAGCGAAGGAGATCACCGCTTTCCAAACACCACTTGGTCTGTTTCAATTCAGGGTGATGCCCTTTGGCTTGATAAACGCTTCAGCAAGTTTCAGTCGCCTGATGCGTAAGCTCTTAGATGGAATGCAGTGTGTGGATAACTTTATAGACGATGTGATTGTGTACACTCGAACATTTCAGGAACACATCAATGTGATTCGGGAACTTCTAAAAAGACTTCGTGCGGCGAATTTGACTGTGAAACCAAGTAAGTGCTTTATTGGTTACCGGAGTCTTGAGTGTCTCGGACATATTGCAGGAGATGAAGAACTTAGACCTCTTCCAGACAAAGTTTCCGCCATTCACAAATTTACCCAACCTTCAACGAAGAAACAAGTGCGATCATTTTTAGGTCTGGTAGGATTCTATCGTAAATTCATTCCGAATTTTTCAGCTATTGCTTCGCCTTTATCAGATCTTACCAAAAAAGGCCAGCCGAACAAAGTGATTTGGAAAGAACCGCAGGAAAATGCATTCATCACTCTCAAGAACGCTTTAACGGTAACACCAGTTCTCAAACTACCTGATTTAAATGAAAGCTTTGTTTTACAGACTGATGCGTCAGATCGTGGTGTTGGGGCAGTTTTGATGCAGTACGAAGATGGTGTGAAGAAACCTGTTGCATACGCCAGTAAGAAACTTTCCAAATGTCAGGTAAATTACTCTACAATCGAGAAAGAGTGCTATGCGATAATCTGGGCAGTTCAAAAGTTCCGCAGGTATTTGTATGGTAAGGAATTCCTACTAGAGACAGATCATCAACCACTAGTATATCTTACCAAAGCCAAGGTGTCTAATGCACGTCTGATGCGCTGGGCATTACTTCTGCAACCATATAGGTTTCGCATTATTTCCATCAAGGGTTCTGAAAATGTGGAGCTGATTGTCTTAGCAGAATTTAGATATGTATATAATTATGTATAGTCGATTTTATGCTTTTATTGATTGTGTTTTTTCAAAAGTTCGTTGAACTTTCTTATGTTGGGGAGATATTGTCACAATCAATATTTAATTTCAATTGCATTTACATTATGTTTATGGTTTTTATTTTATTTACCCTTTACTGGACCTCTATACTTTTGTTACCTTATTGAACCTCAGTTAAGTTTTGCAGGTATTGGTCAGTTACGACCTATTGTATTTTGGGGTATTTAAATCGCTGCATAGCTGACCAGGTAACCAGGGTCCACGTTTTCATAGCTTTTAAATGGTTGACATACAGTCCAAGATGAGTGGCTAAATTTTTTCTTTCAACGGTAACCATTTCTCCAAAGGGGTAAGTTTGTTTTTTATTTCATATGTAAGTTTTTGAGTAATACATTTAAAACGTAGAACTATTTAAGAACTTGAGTTAATTAATGTTTTTGTTACTATTTACGTATACAGGTTTTGCTGGGTAGAGTTACTCATGCGTTTATTGTTCTATTTTTGTGCAATGTACTGAGTTATATACGCACGTAGGCTATTTTGTTTTGCCGCTTATAAAGTCGGTGTTGTGGGTTTAATAGTTAAAACCACTTTTGTTAAGATGTTGTGTATTCTTAACGTTTTTCTTATTATAATAGTGTTCGGTTAAAATTACCGGGATTGATTGTATGGTGTGCCATTAGTGCAATTGTAGTCAATGGTGACTTGAGTTTTCCTTTTGTATACGTGGCTTGTGACTTAAAAAATGTTATTTAATTCAAAGGTTCCTGATGTTATCCAATGTTAATCTATCCATGTGTGTGTTGGCAATGAACTTACCAGACCGGGATACCCACTGGGAGCCAGTTGGCGGGAGTCCGTCGTGAAACGGGTCGTGTCTGGATAGACGTGGTTCAGAGTCAACGATATTGAGGATTAATAGAGACTTTAATTTCTGTGTATTGTAAATAATAGCTGTAAAAATATGTTGTAAATATTGTTTTTATTGATTTTATTTATAGATAAAAAAAATTGTAAATAGAAAAAAAAAATCTTGTTATATCTGACTGGACAGAGCACGACGGCTGTCGTGACAGTATCCAACAATAAAGAGTTTCTTGTAGTAATTAGAGCGAGTAGTGGGTCTTACACAATCGAGATTTTTTTGTGTGAATTTTCATTTTGAGGGTACACCATTTTCTTCACACTTTGCTTAAAATTCTGACGAGATATTTACATGAAATTTACGCAACATCAAACTTAATTATGACTCTTTAACCAAGAATTAAAGAAATTATTTATTCTTTTCATTTGTTCTTTAAAACCTCAAAAATGTTAGGTGAACACTTAGAAGTTTGGTTCAGTGTATTAACTTTTAAAAATTTACTTGGAGGTAGGCGGCAGAACAATGCTATCGTTCACAGTTGTTATGCAATGTTTGAACCTAGGGTCAGGGATTCATACATGTATGTGGTGGAGGCACTTCTGATTATTGCTGAATATTACTGATTAGTTGATATGCATTTTTAGGTCACCTGAGTAAAATCAAGTGACCTATTGCTATCCGTTTTCATTCTTCGTGTGTCATGCGTTAACATTTGAACATTTCCAGCTTCTTCTCTAAACCCACTGAACCAATTTCAGCCCAAATTTGGCATAGAGCATCTATGGGTGAAGGGGAACAAGAATTGTGAATTTAATGGTCCCTGCCCCCTGGGGCCTGGGGTGAGGCAAAAACCACTAAAATTAGTGCAATCTTTAAAAATCTTCTTTACTCCTAGATATCAAGCAACTGTTAGTATGATTGTAATCAGCGGTAATAAGCATTGATTCCTCTACCACAATTATTAAATTCATGGCCCCAGGGTCAGGGTTCTAGTACTAGGACGAGGGTAAATAGGTTATATAGTGAAAATGCATTATTTCTTTGAAATTCTTCTTTTCTGCTCCTGGGCATTTAATAAACTACCCAAGTGCAAAGTTGAATTGAAAATGACTGCCTCTCAAATTTGTGAATTTTATTGCCCAAGGGCAAGGGCTTTTAGTGCTAGGGAAGGGCTATATAGATTTTATAATGAAACGTCCTCTTTTCTGTGGGTCAGGATCAGGGGCTCTAATGCTAGGGTTTGGGCCACATAGATTCTATAGTAAAAATAATTTATTTCTTTGAAAACCTTCTCTGCTACAGAGTATAACGCAAAAAATAAAAATAGTTTTGTTTCCTGCTATCCGACCTATCCTATTTTTTTGCACCGGACCCTCAAGTTTTTTTTCTCAATTGGGGAGGGGGGATCAGGAACTTTTGGAATTTGAAACTGAAAAAAATTATATATTCAAATGGTATTTCATAAAAATATGGACTTTCATAAAATACCACTTGTGTTGTGCATCAAAAGACTTGAAATTTAATTTTGAAAAGGCAATATTGACCTATATGGCATTTTTAATTTGTTCTTGTATAAATTCGTATTTAAAGAAACACTGTTTGAAAAAAAAAGAAAAATAAAATAATTTCCCTACCTACCTACCCTTTTTTTCAGGCTGGTAGCAGGAAACAAGACTATTATTTTTTTTTGGCCTTAAATAAACTAACGAAGTAAGTAGTTATGTTGAATAAGGCTGCCTCTTCCAAAATTGTGAATTTCATGACCCCTGGGTTAGAGGTTCTGTTGTTAGGGTGGGGCTTTATTGATTATTTAATGAAAATGCATAAATTCTTTAAAAATCATTTTTTTCTCCACCCCGGTATTTAACCAATGTACATAGTTATGAGAAGGAAGGATACCTCTTTGAGATTTGTGAATTTAAGAGACTCTGGGTCAGGGATTCTTGTGATAGGGTGGGGTTTTAATGTTTATTTAGTGAAATTTGCATGTATTCTTTGGAAATGTTTTCCTAAAAAAGTTTGTTCTTTTTGTATTATGCCAATGATCTTAGTATATATTTATGACGAAGAAAGATGCTTCTTCCAAAAATGATTATTTCACTGGCATCTGAGAGAGAGATACTTGGGGGGGGGGGGGTAACATAGTCTGAAAATTATTTAATACTTTGAAATCTGCATAGTTCGGTATTAATCAACAACATGATGAAATAAAATTTATAAAATTTCCAAAGCTTTGAAAGATGTGGCTCCAGTGTCAGTGGTTCCCGTGGGATGGGGTGCACAACTGATCAAGTGGAAATGCATTTTCCTTTAGTTACTCTGATCTACCTCTATAAAATGAAGGCAAATAATCATTATTAAATTAAAATTTCAGTGATATTTAGGTGATATTTGTGCATCTTTTGGTATATTGCATTTGATAATATGACACCAAATATAAAAGATATGGACACTGTGACATTACTTTTGGTTCAACCCACGTATATTTACGATATCAACAACAGACTTGTCTTTAAGATAACTAAATCAGCATCAAAAAATATACGACAGTTTTTAAAAAGGCAAGAATTTCGAAAACAAAAAAAAAACTGTAAATATGTAGTACTTTTTCAGAAAAGCTACATTTTGTCTGCTTTACATCCAACGTGAAAATTATACAACAATTGATACCAAATCTACAGTTTTGTTTTTAAACAACTTTTAATATGTAGAAATTCTACCGCTGAAAAACATGTAATTCCAGGTTTTTCAATTACTAACACATAATATAGTATTTCAGTTTTATAATCGTAGCACACAATCAGTATAAAAATATCTTCATGCTAACATTGTTTCCTTTTTCAGGAAATAGAAAAGTATTTTTGAGAGTTTTGGAAAGCTGTACCAGACGAGGACAGAGATTGGTTAAGTGAGTCTCTGAATGATCGGGAATATGCAGTAGGTCTGAAGACACTTAATGATAATACCAAGGAAATACTAGAGTCAATGAAAAAGTCCATAGTGGAACTATTCACAGATGAGAACACTACAAAGGTTGAATTGCCTTCTTCGTGGGCTCTAATGGAGCAGTTATTGTATGAAGGAGGCTGGAAGGTTTTGTCCCTGAGTGAAATCTGGAAGCTCAACTCATCTCTTCCTTATGAATACCAAATCAAAAGTGATGAAGAAATGTCAAAATTTTTAAAATGTTTCCATGACAGTGGCCTTCTTCTGAATTTTGAAGAAGTGGAATTGAAGGAACATGTTATACTAGACATTCAGTGGTTTGCTAATGCTTTCAGTAAAATAATTGCTGATGAAAACCACATCACTAAAGACTGTAAAAGAAAATTAATCAAAGAATGGAAATCATTCAACAAAACAGGGGAACTAAAAGATAATGTGATAGATGCTTTGTGGAAAGAAGAACCCTCTTACGTGAAACATAAAAATGATATTATGCCATACATGGAGAAACTTCAAATGCTGGTACCTTTGAATGCATATGAGGCTGTATCAGAAGGCGGGATGTCATGGTATGTCCCGTGTATGAACAAAAAGCAGTTTAAAGCTGACTTCAGTGAAGATAAATGGGAATGCTCATCCATTTTATGCTATCGATTCTCTTCCTTTGCCATGTTTGTGTTCTACAGACTAGTAGCATACTGCATAAGTTCTTTAAGATGGAGTGTTGCGAAAGATGAAGACAATGAAGGAAGTCTATGTCTTTATCAAACGGCGGCAGTGTTTGATTATCATACACACACTGTTGTTGTTGGCATATGCAATGATGATATCCAGTTGCAAGTGCTTAGAATCAAAGACTTGCCTATAGACAAAGGAGTATCAAATGAAATTGGAGATTCTATTGAAAAAGCAGTAGAAAAATTGACAGAAACATTTATTGACACAAAAATATTCCACAGAGGATACAAATGTCAAAATATCATTTGTGACGAGAGAGATGTATCTTTCACCCTTGCAAGTGAGCTGTCCAAAATCAAAGCTGAAAAAACACAGTGCAAGTGTCAACTTAAGGAGAAACATATGATAAATGTACAGATGACAGTGAGTTTTTGGGAAAAGGTAAGTAATGTTTATTAACAAAATTTATCCTTAAGTTAAATAAAAGGTATGTAGAATCATCTTGTTCGTCTATCATCTTGTTCCTACAATTTTCTCCAAACAAAAGCTAAGTGATTGATATTATGTTTGGTTTTCATTTATTTATTTACATGACCTAGAACTAATAAGATCCATTTCACCCTACAAATTGCAGGATGTAATAAAAAATGTTATATTTGTAAAACTTCCTTTAATCTCACAAATAGAATCATGACGATCTTAAATTTAACTTACTGAAAAAAAAAATTATTAACTTAATTTGTTTTTAAAAAACCTGTGTATAATTTTGATATTTATACTTCTGTATGTATCTGCTAAATTTACGTATTCAATATGTACAAGAAAGTTTAATTTTATTTCAGACAAAAATGAGTGTTTCTACAACTCCAGTGGCCTCTGGTGGACATGACCTTGAGGGACGATCGAGATTCGCAAAACTTGGAATGGCAACAAACGATGTGTTAAATCAGGCATACAGAGATATACTAGAGATGGAAGTGCCTCCATCCGATATTGAAAAGAAAGCTAAAGCATCAGCGGTTTACAAAAGATTGCGCCCAGAGCAAGAACAACTCTTGCTAGATGCTAAGCATTCAGGATATAAAAGCTTTGACATTTCTTTAACATACACATTAATCCGAAACATTTGTTCAAAGATCCCTAAGCCAACAAAAGGAAAGTGGGGAGATGAGCCTGCATCAGGAGAAGTGACAGTGGGTGATGATATCGAGAGAATTAGGTCAATCCGAAACAGCTTGACTGCACATGTGAGTTCAGCCTCCACCTCTCAGACAGAATTCGATGACACCTGGACAACAATGTCTGATATCTGCCAAAGATTGGAAACTTTCACTGGGAAGAAGTACTCAGATAACCTGAATAGCATTCATAAGCTGACTTTAAAAGAAGGAGGTGAAGATGCAGTTAAAGCTATTATAGAAAAGTTTGTCAAGGATCAACATGAACAACATAAACTGTTGGTCAAGGATCAATACGAACAACGTGAACTGTTGAAGACCATCGTGTCAGATGTTCAAGAATTAAAATATCAAATGAGGACATTAAAACGAATTTGAAGACTTGAACCATTCAGAATTAATAATTTTTACTCATAGAATGTTTTCAGTACTAGTAAATAATGAATTCTTTAACACCTGATTGAATATATTGAAAGAGTCATTGGTTAAAGTCTTTGAATAAGCTTAATTATAATTACAAACTGGATATGAAACATGTGGATATATGAGGAATTTGATATTTCATTAACACACAAGTTTTAAAAGAAACATTTGTTCAAAGATCCGTTAACCAACAAAAGAAAAGTGGGGAAAAGAGCCAGCAGCATGGTGACAGATGGTGACGATATCCAGAGAATTAGGTCAATCCGAAATAGATTGACTGCTCTCGGACAGAATCCAATAACACTCTGTCGACAATGTCGGATATCTGCCAAAGATTCACTGGAAAAAAGGACTTGGATAACATTAATACCATTTATAATGGCTTTAGATGTAGATGCTATTTCAGCAATCATAGAAAAATTCGAACAACATGATATGTTGGAGAAATTCATGTCCAGTATGCAAAAATTAATGTCAGATAAGTTAGATGTGAAAAATTTAAAATTGATGCTGACAGGCAGTGCTGCCCAAATTCAACTTTTTATGCATTGAACATATGCAGAGTGACTTTAACTTTTACAAACTTGAAAATCAGTTGTTAGAAATCATGATTTTAATCCCTGAAAAATCAACATTTTAGAAAGAGACTAGTAGTCACTACGAAAATGCTTATGGTATTTGCTAATGATATTTGGTTCATAACTTTATATTTTTGTTGTATTCCTTCAGGATAACCTTTCTGTTTATAGAGTTTCAATAGTTTTGTACCTGAAAGTATAATGTTATAGAATTCTTAAAATCCCAGAAGGTTTAGAGACAATCAAATGAAATGTCCAAGAAGTAGAAACAATGATCAACCGAAGGATGAAGGAGCTACAAATTATGAGCTCGTTGAATATTGTGTAGAATATGAAAGAATTGCATATATTACTTAATCTTATAAGAATGGAGAGTGCTGGAGAGTTCATTTTATGTGAATGTGAATGCTATACTGCTTGTACCTATTTTAGAGTAGCTGCAAAAGTTCAAATGTGTATGGTAGTGTCGGACAAGAAGGGAATATGTTCCTTCACAATTGCATATTTTTAAAACACTGATTAGCGATCGACCTTTGTTGCTTGTGTTGATATGTTCATTTCATTTTGCTTTTGTATTGTAAACTTAATATCCAGTGGGATCAAAGTATTACAAAATGTTACTTGTTTATTTGAATATACACGTATGTTATATTCTTAGTGGACTTTTACGAGAAGCGCTGACTTCTACAGGTGACTTTTACATGGACATTTAAACTTGCATCATGTACGGAAGTACAGAATTGATAACACACAGGAAAACCTTTCTAGTGGTCAAAAGTATGGTTTTAGGGGCACTCACATGTGAAGACCGGGAGTTTAGGGTAGGGTGGTTGTCGTTTTCTTCTAGGACAACTTATACGTGCATTGAAATAACCCCTTATTTTCGTTTAATTAAATGTTGAGCTAAATACTTATATCTTAAAAGAGCTACCGTACATAGCTCTAGTGTAAAAGTAAGCGTAAACTGTAAAAGTCAGCGCTCCTCGTAAAAGTCCAGTAGTACACAGATTTATGATCCTACTTTGTTGCTTGTGACAATATGTTTACTTTATTTTACTTATGTATTGTGTACTTTACATCCAACATGCTTCAACTAATTGACAGAATTTTTATGCCACCGTAAACGAAGTTTCGGGGGTATATAGTTTTTGTCGTGTCTGTCTGTCTGTCTGTCTGTCTATCTGTCTGTCTGTCTCTCTGTTTGTCTGTTTGTCCGCAAAAACTTTAACCTTACCCATAACTTTTGATTTAGTGGAGCTATGACTTTCATATTTCATACGTGTATTCCTTGTGACAAGACCTTTCTTTGGGTACCACTAAATTTGACCTTCTGACCTTGACCTTAGAGTTTGACTCACTTTTACATGAAAATTTTAAAATTTTACTTTGGCTATATCTTTTGAACAGTGAACTCCAGGACATTTATACTTCACAAATGTATTGTTTGTTTTAAGACCTTTGACTGGATACCAACAACCTTGACCCTTTGACCTTGACCTTGTAGATTTCAATACTTGGGAAAAAACTTTAACCTTGGCCATATCTTTTGAACGGTAAGGGATAGGGCTTTCATACTTCATATATTTAATCCTTGTGAAAAGACCCTTTATTGGATATAAAGATCTTTGACCCTTTGACCTTGACCTTTGAGCTTGACCTACTTTAAAAAAGCAAACCTTTACAGAAATTTAAAAGAGTTAGGGCTAGTGCTTTCATACTTAACATATTTGATTCTTATGACAAGACTTTTCATTTGATAACAATAACTTTGACCCTTTGACCTTGACCTTTAAGTTTGACCAACTTTTTAATAAAAATTTTGAAATTTTACTTTGGTTATATCTTTTGAACAGTATATACAAGGACTTTTATACTTCACATATGTACTGTTTGTTAAAAGAGCTTTAACTGGATACCAACAATCTTGACCCTTTGACTTTGACCTTGTAGATTTTCGTACTTGTGAAAAAAATTAACTTTGGCCATAACTTTTGAACAATAAGAGATAGGGCTTTTATACTTCATATATGTAATCTTTGTGAAAAGTCCCTTCATTGGATATGAAGATCCTTGACCCTTTGACCTTGACCTTTTAGATTGACCTACTTTAAAAAAGCGAACTTGACGATAACTTTTAAAGAGTTAGGGCTAGTGCTTTCATACTTTATATATGTGATCCTCATGACAAGACCTTTCATTTGATAACAGTACCTTTGACCCTTTGACCTTGACCTTGGAGTTTGACCTACTTTTTAAGAAATTGAACGTTAACCATAACGGCTAGGGCTAGGGCTTTTATGCTCTACATAAGTATTTTATGTGGCAAGACTTTTCATTTGATACTAATTACATTGACCTTGACCTTGGATATTTTTGTATTTATTAAAAACCTTTAACATTAGCTTACTTTCAAATTTCACAATTGTTTTCCAGTGACAATACCCTACTTTTGGTACCGATAAATTAAATTTCAATTTAATAAAAGCTTAATCTATGTTGCCATACGGGGGCATCAGTGTTTAACAAACACATCTTGTTTATGATAGTACAAAAATATACGCGGATGTAATTAGATGCCTCTTTGGGCCTCTACTGAAAACCTTGGAGCTTAAAATGTTGACAAGCTCACTGAAACGACAGTGAATAAGGACAGAGTCACTTTGTTGATCCATCTATATGTGAATCAGCAATCAAATCAGTATGCTGAATATTTTTTCGACCTGTTAGACGAAGTCGAGATGAGCTTATGCTATACCCCTGTAGTTGGCGTCGGTGTCGGCGTTAGCGTCGGCTTCCTAGGTTAAAGTTTTAGGAGTAAGTCCATTTCCAAGTAACTATAAGCCCTACCTGAACCAAACTTGCATGGATGATGCATCTAGGGATGTACACTTCCAGACATGCTTCGGATGCTGGATCTGACCTACATTTTCTAGTTGAGTGACCAGGTTAAAGTTTTTGGAGCAGTTTTAATTTTTGGAGCAGGTCCATTTCCAGGGAATTATAAGCCCTACCAGGACCAAACTTGCATGGGTAATGCATATAGGGATGTACACTACCAGACTTGCTTTACATGCTGGATCTGACCTACATTTTCCAGATGAGTGACCAGGTTAAAGTTTTTGGAGCAGGTCTATTCTCAAAAAACTATAATCCCTACCTGGATCAAACTTGCATGGATGATGCATCTACAAAAGGACACTACAAAACTTGCTTCGGATGCTGGATCTGACCTACATTTTCCATATGAGTGACCAGATTAAAGTTTTTGGAGCAGGTCTATTCCACAGGACTAAAAGCCCTATTTGGACAAAACTTGTATGGATGATGCATCTAGGGATGGACACTACCAGACTTGCTTCGGATGCTGGATCTGACCTACATTTTCATTCCCAAGTGACTATAAGCCCTACCGGAACCAAACTTGCATGGATAATGTATCTAGGGTTTCACACTACCAGACTAGCTTCGGATGCTGGATCTGACCTAAATTTTCATTCCCAAGTAACTATGAGCCCTATTTGGACCAAACTTGCGTGAATGATGCATGTAGGGTTTAACACCACCAGACTTGCTTTGGATGCTGGATCTGATCTACATTTTCATTCCCATGTAACTATAAGCCCTATTTGGACCAAACTTGCGTGAATGATGCATCTAGGGATGGACACTACCAGACTTGATTTGGATGCTGGATCTGATCTACGTTTTCATTCCCAAGTAACTATAAGCCTCTACCTGAACCAAACTTGCATGGATGATGTATTTAGGGATGTACACTACCAGTCAAACTTCGGATGCTGGATCTGTCCTACATTTTTATTCCCAAGTAACTTTAAGCCTTACATGAATCAAACTTGCATAGATGATGCATTTAGGGATGGACACTACCAGACTTGCTTTGGATGCTGGATCTGACCTACATTTTTATTCCCAAGTAACTATAAGCCCTATTTAGACCAAACTTGCATGAATGATGCATCTAGGGATGGAAACTACCAGACTTGCTTTGGATGCTGGATCTGACCTATATTTTCATTCCCAAGTAACTATAAGCCTCTTTCTGAACCAAACTTGCATGGATGATGTATCTAGGGATGGACACTACCAGACTAACTACGGATGCTAGATCTGTCCTACATTTTCATTCCCAAGTAACTATAAGCCCTAGCTAAACCAAACTTGCATGGATGATGTATCTAGGATGGACACTACCAGACTTGCTTCGGATGCTAGATCTGACCATCATTTCCATTCCGAAGTAACTATAAGCTCTAGCTAATCCAAACTTGCATTGATGATGCAGCTAAGGATGGACACTATCAGACTTGCTTCGGATGCTAGATCTGACCTATATTTTCCATACAAGAGACTGGGAAC